TTCCATCCGAATGGGCTGAGAGTGTTATTGTACCACTCCATAAAAAAGGAAGCTTTGACTGTGTTAATAATTATAGAGGCATATCTTTGATGGATATTTTTGGGAAGTTATCCTGCTTTATTCTAAATGCGCGTCTCAAACGTTTTTCTGATCACTTTAACAGTATACCTGTGGCCCTGGCAGGATTTAGGAAAGGCTATTGCACAACGGATAATAGTTTCACTTTGCAATGTCTTGTACAAAAGTATTTATCTAAAATTTGGGGACGTTTTTACTTTATTTATGTAAACTTCAAGAAAGCATTTGATTTTTTTAATAGGAAATTACTGTGGTATTCAAAAATTAATAAAGGTATTCATGGTAAATTATTCTCTGTACTGAGAAATATGTATTCGATTATAAAAGCAGCTTTAAGAGTATCCAACACTACTATTACTGATTATTTTGATAGTTTAAGTGGAGTCATACAAGGTTGTGTTCTCAGCCCGTTTTTGCAATGTTGATTTCAGTATTTCAATCCATGATGGTAAATACAGATGTAAGAGGTATGTACATCGGTGTAGATTATTTGGAACTACTGTTATTATTGTATGCTGATGATTTCTGTATTTTTTATGACAGTGTTATTGGTTTGCAAAGAGAGATTGACATTTTATGTAAATATTGTACATCATGGGGCTTACAGATAAATATGGATAAGACAGAAATATTAGTTTTTTCTAAATGGCGGTTATTTACGACATTATGAGAAGTGGTACTTTGATGGAGAGCTACTTAAGACATCAACCTATAACAATTATTTAGGTATTATGTTTTCTACTAGGTTGACAGTGTGTTCAAATACTCTTGTTTCAAAAGCCACTTAAGCTCAATAACAGAACAAATACCCAAGTATTCCTGTAAATATGTCATTTAAATGTTTGATTGTAAGATAAAACCTATTTTGTAATATGGGGCGGAGGTGTGGGGCTGTAAGATTGTTGTTATACACGTATGGTTTCGGATATACATGGGTTAGTCAATATATTGGAGATATTTCATATTTTCTGTCGATGTTCAGACAGAGATTAGAAGATTGTGGAAAAGAAAACATTTTTAGTATTAATAAAGGTTGAGAACGACTTGCACATCATACGAATATTAAGTCATTGCTGGGATTGGAGGGGGGGGGGGGGGGGGGGGGGGGGGATTGTACACCAGAAATGGGTTTCACACATTGTACCCATGTCGGGAATCGAACGCGGGTCTTCGGCGTGACGAGCGAACGCTTTAACCGCTAGGCTACCCGACCGCCTCCAAGGGAATTAAGAAAAGAAGATGGTTCTTTGAGAGTGTGGCAGACTGGCAGAGAATGTATTTACATGACAACAGATATAAAATACTGGACTATATTAATTCACCTCTACAATAATAGACTACCATATCACACTTACATTGTGCTTATATCTATTGATGATGCTGGAAGACACGCATGGGTTACTTCAATTAGGAATATTGTATTTCACCTAGGATTTGGTATAGTCTGGATTCAGTGGAACATGGGAGATGCTGATATCTTTTAATTCGAATTTTAACAAGGCTCTCCAACAAATTGGCACTCATCCTTGGAAAGTTCATAAAAGTGCAACTACTATAAACAATATACGTCACTTCACAATACTGAATAATATCTAACGATAAACATACCTCAATATATTAATTGGCATTTAGCAAAATTTAGGTGTTATATGTTTGGATTATGTGTTCAGATTGGAAAACACAATACTATTCCTCATGATGAAAGATATTGCGAGTTCTGTTTGAAGAAAAATAAGAGGAGTGTAGAAGATGAATACCGTGTGATAAGGATATGTGAACGCTACTCCTAGCTCAGAAAGCAATATATACAACAATATTATACAGATAATCCAAGCACTAAAACATTATCCACCTTATGAATTCTTCAGAGAGAGGAGCCGTGGGGTAGCCTAGTGGTTAAAGTGTTCGCTCGTCACGGGCTCGATTCCCCACATGGGTACAATGTGTTAAGCTCATTTCTGGTGTCCCTCAGAAATAACATGTGTATATTCTCTGAACGTAAGCTTTTACAGTGTGAAATGTGAAAACACTTAATTTATATTAATACCTTTGTATGTAGGATATTTAAATATTCGTATTATTGTATCGTGGGCAAATGGCCTTTATTACTGAATACATGTGTCTGTCCTTCTGTTATATATAGGTAGCATAATTCCTTGTCATCAAATAATCAATATACGGTTTGTGAAAGAAAATAACTAACTTTGACATAATTATTCCACACAGGACATTACATGATTTGTCTGTATTATTCATTATTGTCATAGTTGTCAATGAACACGATGCTCAGTGCTCTTCCGTTGATCTGATTCTTTCATGTGATAAGAATATTGTTTATGTTTTGTCATACGACATACCGACATACCGTAATCAATTATTATTACCGTTGCATATAGTAGTGAGTGAGTGAGTGAGTTGGATTTAATGCCGCTTTTAACAATATTCCAGTTATATCGCGGCGTGTCAGCTTAATGTGGTAGTAAAGCCCGAAGTGATGCAGGTCTCAGACGTTTACCACGACTAAATATAGTTTGAATGTTTTAATGTACGGATATTATATTTTGTGATACCAGCTGTTTGACTAGACTACCTTTCCTTCAGTCAAGGCAATAGAATCAGATCTGGTTGGAATGGACCATGAGACGAACATGAAGTTCCTTGACGATGTCAGTGATTTGTCATCAACGAACAGTAAGTTCACGCAGGGTACATTGTTACACTTCGGGGTACACATTTGAAGAAGGGATTGTTGGAGATAATAATGTTCTCTTGAATTCTGAGATTGAGAGATACGACGAATAAATATGCTTTTGGATTTACCCTGAACGATGCACATGAAATGACTTGTGTTGATATTTCCAGACAGATTCAAAGACCCGGTTTAACTCCACAAAATAGAACAAAATATGGGGTGGCGAAGTATGAATGTTTTTGTGATTGCATTCGTAATTTGCAACAACCCTATTTCTCTATACTCTATACTTACTTACCTTTTAGATTATGTTGCTGGTGCGACACAAACTTCTCCAACGACTTGGAGTGACCACCAAGGAACAGTTGGTGGACAAACGCTGGACAGAGAAAACAGAATAATGGACATCTTGTTCAGACTCCTGCATGGTAAGAAGTCTCATTATTCCACATTAACGGCATCACTATCCATGATTTGTCTAGCGGGTTAACTGAAAAATCTGATCATACTTATACTTATATGTTTCGGAGGATTTATTGCATATGGAACATACCGATGACAAATTCCGATTATTTAAAACACATATTTTGCTGATACGCGTTCTTAAACATCATTATAAAATATAGACCATCAACCAGTTCAGATGGTGCGATATTTGATAAGAATTCCTAAGTTAAAGGACACTGACATTTTCCCATGATAGTAAGCAGTGTGTTGATGTCTTTACTTTGACGTAGATAATGACGAAGACAAGTATGTTGTTTGTACACTGGCTGACGCCGCCGAGACGTCTCAGATCTCCATAGAAGACATCAGCACATCCAAGTATCAAGACAAACACACTATCAGGTCAGTTACGTACTAATTCTCATATTTGGACACCTTCGTTTGAAGGGGAGTGTATTATGTATTTGATACTTACACCAATCACCATTTGGTTTGATAACAGCATTCACGTTTACAGACGGCGCTCTACCGACTGCCAACCACAAGCCAGCTACCGGACAATGGACGGAAGTTGCAACAATGCTCGCTGGCCAACCTGGGGTTCAACCAACCAACCACTCAAGAGATTTATTGATCCTGCATATGATGATGGTAAAGAACGGGTTTATATGATATAACGAGGGCAAGTAATTAACAAACCAGACCATTTGGAAGCAAGGCTTGCAATTATTCCAATGGGACATTTTGTCATAACGTTTACAGTATCACAACTAACCATACGTTAGTGATGTCTAAAAACTGAAGTCTGGTTTTGCAGGTACGTTTGTTCCACGACTGAGGGGCCTTGACGGTAATCCACTTCCCAGTCCACGCGCCATCAGTGTGGCTGTACATCCGGGTGTTGACAGTCCTTCTGACGACAACACGATCATGGTGATGCAGTGGGGGCAGTTTGTGGACCACGACCTCACCGGAACTCCCCTCCATGCAGGTAGGTGCCAAATGGCCAATACTCTCTGACCATCAAAAAGACTAGAAGTGTGATGTTGAAATCAGACAAACTGAGATGTTTCGCTTTTGTAATCCAAGTTTTCGAATTTATATTAGTCATTACTATATTCATCTAAAGCTGTGTATTAACTTTACAAGTCCTTATATTCTTTTCTTTGAAGGTGACGTTCAATCGAAATGTTGCAATGGTCACACACCTGGAGGGATGCATCCTGATGTACGAGCTGGGTAATCAATTAACATTCTTTATTTGCCACACTTAATCATTCTGTTTTTGTTAATGGAAATAACTGGTCGAGATATGTGAAATAAATGAATCTGAAATAATAAACTTTAAAATTACGTGACATTGTATACATGCTTATAATTAGGATTAAAGGGACAAAACCTTTTCCATGATTATAAAAGTCTACTGTAAGATTCCGACTACATCATAAGCATGTGTTTGTGTATCATAACATATCATAACCATTATCATATCAATGGTTGATTGGAACTGGGAAACGTGTTAATTCTTTTGGTATTTCACTGTTCCAGCGGTCCTTGTTTCCCAATCACCATGCCAGTAAATGAAGGACATTTCCAAAAGAACTGCATGGAGTTCAAAAGATCAGCCCCAGTACCTGGAAGGAGTGAGTATATGAATACAAGGCTGTGAAGGTTACCTCATTTCAATGTAGGATTGTTCTGTCATTATTTTTATGCTCATCTTATTAAGTAACGAAAGCAATAAACAACACTGTATGATAACATCCATATTTAATTTAAAACCATGTCACTTCCAGATACTCGAGAACAGTTGAACCTACTGACGTCCTTTGTGGACGCCTCTAACGTGTACGGACTCAGTCAGGATCAGATCAAGCACCTCAGGAACGGACGTGGGTTAGGCAATTTGTTTGTATTGATTTTGCTGATAAAACAAATATTTTAAATTTTGACAGAATACCTTAGAGAGTAATTCGTACATACAAATATATGCCGTCATTCAACTTTTCAGCCTACATGAAAACTAAGGGAGATGACCTTTTACCAGAATCCAACCAAGGCAACTGTCGAACAAGCAATACCAACGAATGGTGTTTTGAAGCTGGTAAATACAACTTATTAATGTATTCGTAGTACTATTTTCAGAGTCTGTTCATAATGTATTTTACAGAAGACTATTTGGTTCAATTTCAAATGATAATGATAAGTTATTTCATAACATTGTCACAACATCTTATTACTATTTTCATCTTCAGGAGACGACCGGGTGAACGTGTTCCCTGGCCTTGCAGTGCTACACACCGTGTTTGTCAGAGAACACAACCGATTAGTCAAAGAACTTGCTGATGTCATGCCATCGACCACTCCTGATGATGTCTTGTTTGAAGAGGCCAGAAAGATCGTGTCAGCCATCATCCAACAAGTCACCTACCGCGAGTGGCTGCCCATTATTGTTGGGCCCTTGGCCATGAGGAAGTACAGACTGACCCCTGGCTTCAGCTTCAGGTACAACTTCACCCAAAACCCCACCATCTACAACGTTTTCGCCACCGCCGCCTTCAGATACGGCCACTCCACCATTCCACGTTTCCTGACCCTCGGAGATCGACATGTACCCATAGAACAGCTCTTCTTCAGACCTTCTGAGGTCATCAAAGATCTGGACACCGTGCTCAAGGACAGACATCAGGAGGTTAACCGCTTCATCAACAGTGGGATGACTGAGCATTTGTTTGAGACATCGGGCAATAACGGCTTTGACATCGTGTCCTTGAACATTCAGAGAGGTCGTGACCATGGCCTGCCATCATACAACAACTTCCGCAAGGCATGCCAGCTATCGGAAGTGACTTCATTTGATGACAGTGTATTTGGTAAAGCAGGACCTGCTTTGAAAAGTATATACAGGTTTGTGTAATTTAATTCACTCTTTTATATGTAATTGTAGTAATTGTAACAAATCTATGAAATAAAGATACTTTAACCCTTATCTGACATTTCTCAAGATCTCCTTACATGCATATATTCTTGCTTCAGTTCCCCTGATGACATTGACGTCTTCGCCGGTGCAGTAGCTGAACAACACGTGCATGGCGGCGCAGTGGGCCCTCTCCTCGCTTGTCTGATTGGTCAACAGTTTCATGACCTGAAATATGGCGACTCATTCTGGTTCGAAACATCCCACCCAAAGAAAGGCTTTACATCAGGTACCAACCAATCGGTTTTGTTTTGTTAAAATATTTTATTGATGTCAAGATATGTACTTATCTAAATAATTAAATATGCCTTTAAGATGAGAATTTTACTATAATATCAATTTTATCGAAACGTTTACTGTTTCACTGACGATAGTTTAGAAAATGATACTCTCTTTTTCTCTGTAGTAATATATAAATATTAATTGCATTTTCTATTTCAGATCAACTGTCTGAGATCCGACGAATGCGCTTTGCCAAAGTTCTTTGCAGGAATTCAGGGTTGAAATCTATCCAAAGAGATCCTTTTACAGTGTACTCAAAAGAAAGGTAGGCAACGAAGTCATCCCGCTCCTTAATTGTCATTAATTATAATTGATCCCAGTCATAATACAGCTTAATATAAGGCAGAGAACATTGGCTTATTTTATGCCTTGATAAGAACGACATTTAGTCATGTGGTATGTCATCAAAACATATATCAGTGAACAACAATGTTTTTACAGTGTACTCAAAAGAAAGGTGGGCAAATTTCTTTTAGTTCTTGAAAGATGTAAACATGAATCATTACAAATGTTTTAGATATAACGGTTGGTTGGTCTGTTGTTTAACGCCGCACTCAGCAATATTCCAGCTATATGACGGCTGTCTGTAAATAATCGAGTCTGGACCAGACAATCCAGTGATTAATAGCATGAGCATCGATCCACGCAATTGGGATACGATGACATGCATCAACCAAGATTTGCTACTTTAATCGACTTGTGTTAGTGCATCTGATATCAAAGGTGGGGTGAAATAAGGTTTAACGTCGTTGGTATCAGATTCTTGCACTTTTTTAGCGGCGTGTGTGTGTGTGTGTGTGTGTGTGTGTGTGTGTGTGTGTGTGCGTGTGCGTGGGTGCTTGTACTAGTCCGGACTTAAGCCGATTATAGTGCTAGTCCACTGAGATACCATGCGGCAGTTTAACATGAATACCCCACTGAGACATGGTATATTGACTCCGAGCCGACCAGTCCTTGTTTTAGCCCCTTTTTGCCCAGCGCCAGTCAGGGTAACAACAAATACCATCTTTTAACGTCCTTTTGGGATCGAACCCACGACGCTTTTCCACTGGACCAAGGTGGCGGTCTATATCAAAGACTCTGGCAATGTTCTCTAAATATCCGTGTAACGGAATCAAACATAGCCGTTGTCTATCAATGGAGGTATAATCATTAACAATACATGTCTCACCTTGTTTTATGACATAAGCTCTTCGAACCGTTTTGTGGTACAGAGCGTTACAAGAACGTCCTTGTAGTGTATGTTAAGAGTATAGAATCCCAACTGTTAGCGGAAGTCTATCGTGAAATTTATATACACAAAATTAATAATTTAAAGAGAAACGTAAACAACATTTCTTAACAATTTTGAATGCAGAACGTCAACGCCTGAAAAAAAGTCTCAATTATCAGACGAATCTGATTCCATTGAGCTTAAAAGGCAACATAGCGGTGAAAATGATATGAAAGGATCACTGAACCTATCAGTGATTAATAAATGTTGGGACAAAGTAGATGTTGGTATATTGCGTTAACAGTAACGATAACTTTCTTGGTCATGGTTACCCTTCATGGGAGTCGAACCCTGACCATCGGCACTAGGAGCGGACGCTTTGGCCAAGTGACTATCATCTGTCCGTGCAATACATCAAGTATAAATTCATTATAAATTCCACCTTCTTTCATGTTTCAGCAATCCGAAGATTTCCTGTAACGATCTTCCTACAATTGACTTAACACAATGGCGCAGATGAACAGCTGTTCGATTTATTTGTTGTTTAACGCCCATAAAAATAATCGTGTATGGACCAGACAATCCAGTGACTGACATCATGAGCATCGCAATTGGGATACCAAGTCCGAACCTGACCACCCGATCCCGTTAGTCGCCTTTCACGACAAGCATAGTCGCCTTTTATGGCATCTTCACGGGTCTACCAGCTATTTGGCGGAATCAAGGTCGAACGGATCATATGACTTCCAACATATCCTGTTATCTTGTTATCACCTTTTGACAATAAACTGCCGGGCAAAAGAATGTATACACTTGAAAATTTAACCAAGAATTACAAACGGTATCAAAACGTTACAAGGCTGAAAACAGTTGCCGAAACACTGCAAACGTAAGGTCCAAAACACCACCGTGAAACCCGTAGATGTATAAAATACAACACTCATTTTCATCCACCAGCCGTCTTCAGCAACCCATGCTTGCCGTAAAAGGCGACTACGCTTGTCGTAAAAGGCGACTAACGGGATCGGGTGGTCAGGCTCGCTGACTTGATTGATGCATGTCATCGATCCCAACTGCGTGGATCGATGCTCATGATGTTCAATCACTGGATTGTCTGGTCCAGACTCGATTATTTACAGACCGCCATCATATAGCTAGAATATTGAGTGCGGCGTTAAACAACAAACCAACCAACCAATCCAATCATCCACCAGCAAACATAAGTGTACTTTGTTTTGCCAGGCAGTTTACGTAGCAAGCATTACTGTATTTTATTACATAAAGTATTTTGCGTTATCAACCCTGCCTACCTCAGAAAGGTGGGATGAAGTAGGCGGATATCAACATCATTATTTCTTTGTTGAATGTCTTTTTTTGTCCCCGTCTATAACGAATGTATGAATCAAAATACGTTCAGATTCTGTGAAGACATACCTTTTGGATGTAAAATCATTTCATATGAAAAATATTACTTTTTTGACTTGGTGCATCTGAGGTTAACGATGAGTATGCGCAATAAAACGACTTCGATCACATTCATGTCACCGTTACATGGGTGTTAGTTGATACGTAGTCGACGACCTTATGTGATCCGATTCTTGTCCGATGCTGAACATGCATGGGTCGGACGAATTATTGATTTTATAGATTTTATAGATTTTATAGATTTTACAGTTTTGTTTAATAAACACGTTTTGTATGACATAGTCTGTAGATGTTGTTTTCTTTCATAGACATATCAGCGCTAGATGTGAAGTTACTTCAACGTAAAGATCTAGCCTGTAACTTGATACTAGTGCTGGTAACAAAGTATCGCTTTAAATACTGTAAGTCATAAAGCATTTTTATCTGGCGTGTCTGAGGTTATTGTAGCCGCAGGTTTACCGCACGTGTAGCTTTTCAAAATATCGCACCAACTGTATTTACCTAGGGGCGTAGCAATACGAGTAATTTGCAAGTCATTCCGTTTGGTTGGCTAACCACGTTTATGTATCCTTAAACCGAATTGTTTTACACCACGCCAACTTACAGTATACTGTTTCTTGAATGGCTGATAACATAATGGGCGGGGCGTGTGTCTCATTTGTGTGTGTTAATAATAAAGCAGTCTGTAAACTTATTACTTTTTCCGTATTGTTTAAGAATACGCTTCGTTTTTTCGTTTATAGAGTTGTTAACGTAAATATCGGTGTGAAGTCTGCTTTTGAATAAACGATGAACGAAGGAGGGTATTCGGTATGCGCAACTACATGTGAGGCCGTCTGTGTGTTTCTCATCTTCCGCCAGTTCTAAATTACCGTCCCGCCAAAAAAATATTAAAAATATGTCTTAAATGCGCCCTCTTATATTATTATCCTGCCCTTGAGAAAAATAAGAAATTTCCCGTTTCATAAAAAAACTTTTGAAGGCTTACAAGCTATCTACGTTTTCCGTCTTTAAGCTGCAAACACAAATACGGGATATAGCATCCATTTGGTCAAGAAGGTCAGAACCGTGGTTTTTAATATTTTGTCACAAACAAAATTGTTATACACGGACAAATCGGTTACATCCCCTTTGCTAAATCCAATGATTGTTTAGGTAGTCCTTTTAAAACTCTATTGTTCGAATTATCAAATGTATTGGTCCTCGTCATATGTCGAATGGTGAGTGAGTATGGTTTTACGCTGCTTTTAGCAATATTCCAGCAATATCACGGCGGGGGACACCAGAAATGGGCTTCACACAATGTGGGAATCGAACCCGGGTCTTCGGCGTGACGAAGGAACGCTTTTAACCACTAGGATACCCGACCGCCCATTCGAATGGAAGAAAAGCCGACCTCAATCGTGGAATATATGTACCATTTAGGGTGTTATTTAAACAGTATTCATCTACCCTTTTGTTGCCCGTCAAATAACCATAATTCAGGTGCAAGTTTGAACTTGCACTTAAGATGCACATATGAATATTGACATATTCAGGAAAGAACAATTATTATATTATAGCGCTCGTATACATATGCTGAATCCACGATATTAAGATCTCAGCAAAACTTTCATGTCAGATTTGTGTGTCCCAAGTACATTTCGTATACCGTATTTCCTCTATTTGATGAGTCTATAGATAAATTTCGCGCAAGTCCTTGACTCGGCTTCTGTTCTGTTTAAACAGTGGCAACCCACTACCTTACGAACCCCAAATTCGTGCCACCCAAAGGGTACATTTGCAGAAATATCACACAAGAGTCCCGGCCGTCTATATTTTGGACAGAGTGTATACCACCGTGATACTGCTGAAATGGTGCTAAAAGCGGCGTAAAAAACACTCACTCACTCGTCAAATCCCCCCACCTCCCCTGCCACCCAACAACGCGACTCTTTCAAAACGTATTTCAAAGCATCCTTTGTATTTGAAACGGTCGTAAAATATCTGAACGAGCAACGCGTGGCAAGGGAGGTCACTCTAATTTCTAACCCCCAACTATGGACTCACACGGAAGCTATGACAACTAATCAACAACGCGACCATATAGTGTGTGATTTCTGTGAATACACGACCTCAGGTACAGTGATATGCGAGGTTTGTCTACTTAAGTACTGTGACGGCTGCTTTGAAACGTATCATCCGATGAATGGGCCGCTGTCCGAACATCAAGTTACTCGGACCCGCACAGACACCGATCAGGAAAAATGTCCTCTTCACAACGAAAGATGTTTACACTTCTGTGTCACCTGCTCGAAACGATTGTGCCCTCATTGTCTGGTGATAACGGGCTCGACCATAAATGAGTTTCTGATGCGGCCACACCAGTTTCATGACATCCTGACCACCGAGCAACACATTGAGAAACAGAAAGTAGGTGGACGTGGCCCTTTTGTTTTGTTTACTTTCGTTTCTCGTGAAAAGTATTTTTTTTCCGGATGAATTATATAAAGCTAACAGTAAGCATGATACGAATGGCACACAGTCATGTTTATGTTTTAATGCAAAGACAAATCTAATCTCAACGACAATAACACACTGTTCTTGTTACTGATTCACTGTGTTGATAAATGCCTAGGCCACCTAAGATACATATTTCGTCTGATCTTGAAAATGACTCAGTAGGGCGAATTACATTTATTACATTGTTTTTATGTTTTTTTAATTTTCGGTCGCTCTTTTCTTTTAATTACCAAAGTAACTTACCTACGTTCGTCAAGAATACGTATGGCAGTACACACATGCATTGATGATCAGGTACCGTATTTAGAAGAGAGGTTACATGATCTAGTTTTCCTATCTTACCCCATATCAACCCACCCCCACCCCACCATATAATAACCTTTTTATCATACACGAAATCATAAAAGTGTAAATGTATCTATTTGCAAGTGAGTGTTGATTGTACAACATTCACCTTGTTTGGAAGTCATTGTCACGGGAAACCAAGCGGAGATGACGAGCAGACGACGCACTAAGGGACGTAACTCTAATTTCTTACCACCCGGCTGATATCGATCGGCAATTCAAAATGCAAAAAGCGGGGAGGGGGTGGATCATTGCATAATTTGGGGGATTTGTCTTAAAGATGGAGATGTATTCTAAGACATGGTAAACCTCATTTGGTGATATATTTTAACAATACCAAATTACAAGTAACAATGCAAACGCTTTGTGTGTTGGCTTGTGATCCAAATGTGTCTTTCCTTTCTTCGCTTGTTGACATATCTTCTACTTCTGATTGCCTTCCGATATATTTATACACTGATGCAGGGTTTTAACTCGACTTACAAATTAGGAATCCACATGTCTCCCAATAATTAATTTCAAGGATCCTTACTGGAAAAATGAGGATCCTCATAAGGAATAAATTGGTGTCCTGTACAGTACTGATGATTTGATAATGCTTCAATTACATGGTCTCTATATTTCTTGTGAAAAGTCTGGTACAATGAATACTTTTGTGCATCCCTCGGGAACCAACATATTCTATTTTTGCTCCCATTCTATACATGTGTGCTTACTGGACGCATGCTTCTGCGTTCTGTCATACCCTGATGGTAGCTGCATTGTGTTGTTCTGCAAAACGTGTTGGGAAGGGCAGGATGAATGATTAAACTGTTGGGGGCCATGGTTCCGACTAACATGTACTTCCAACAAATTTATTAACTTTACGAAATGCACGCGGGAGACACCTATGTCCGCCAGTTCCAAGTTCATGGTAAGGAAAGATAGTTGAATGACGTCATCTAACGATGACGTCATTTTATTTTCTCTGGAGTGACGTCATTTGCTTCGAGGACCTCAGTATCCGAAAAAGGCTTACGTTTCTTGTTGACAAGACTGCACATGCACATGCATCAACAATGCCGACCGTTTTCACTGATCTGGATGAGTTTGAACGGAAAGTCTACCTGATGTGTTCCGTTACTGAGTACTGGTTCAGCGAACAGAATCAAATGTTGACGCAGGATGATGTTCTGGCTATGTTTCAGAAAAAACTCCTGGAACAGATTGAGAAGGTCAGTCACGCGATTGCATTGGCCGAAATTGACGAGAAAAGCATCGAGGACAGAAGGATTGAGCTTGAGGTAGGGAGGGGTTGCGCCGATTGCATCTAAGAGATTGCCGTTTTGGTAAGGGATACGCGCGAGCGTTGTCTTAATATGACATATAGATCTACCACAGAATTAGCACTACGACACGATACGAAATGACCATGGTATCGGCCATTGAATCATTTGTAACAGGGCTTCAGATACTATTTTGACATGTTGATTATTTACTCATTGGGGGTTGACAGTTTTCTTTGGGTATTCCTAACATTATACTCCCTTGGCTCGCTTTCTTGGGTATGGGCGCACGGGGGACCAAGTCGTCTAAGGCGCCGTGCAGAGTTACGTACCTTGGGAAAACCAGAAACCTATGATCGTCTGTTCAAATGCCGGTTCGCCCCGATTATAATTTTAGGTTTGTCAGCACCATACCGTGCTCGTGGGTTTTGCTCCCGGATCAAGCTGACATTCAGTGCTAACTGCATTTCTGTTCAACGCGGCGTTAAACCAAACTGACTCACTAACTCTTTTGGGTATATTTAATGTTATGAGTAGACATTTCTTTCAAATACTTCAACATGAACTACTGTTTCAGGTGACTACTAGTTTGTTTGACGTGATATACACGTCGAAGCTACAATAAGCGCCTTTGTGCATTAGTCACTGCTGTAAAATTCATGTGTGTGGTGACTTCATAGGATCCGTAAATGGAGATCTGTAAAGTAATACTGGAAAGCAACTTGAAAAGGCTACATTGAGTTATAACGCACATTGTTTCTTATATTTATTCTTTCGTGCGTACGCAAGGAAGTAATGGGGATTTCGCTTGCGTATTTTACGCAAAAACGAAGCTTACCTTGATCTCTGACAGCTGTTTTTAGAGGCGGGATATTTTTGCCTGAGAAAACCTTTTATGTCAGGACATGTCAATCAAACAAGTTTGTGTGTGTTTTTTAAAAAAATAGGAAAAAATGTTTGAAATCAATATTTTCATAAACTGTTAATTTTTTTCCAAAACATTCCTTGGCCACACACATAATAAAGGCCCAGAATATCAAATGGTCAGCCCCTTATGTATTCTGATTATTCACGCAGCTAAGGGGCTCGGACACATACAGCAAAGCTAACATGAGTGTGTTCTCCTTCAGCTATCATGGCTGTCGTACAAGCAGCAGGTGCGCCAGGAGTTCGTGTCTCTCCATGATCTCCTCTTAGACAGAGAGAAGGATCTCCTGGACAAGATGCAGAAGGTAGGGGAGATCATTCCGGGATGCCAATAAAAACCAAAGCCGGGTTCCATCTGAAACACACAGATTGACTTCAGTCCCTCTTTTCCCAAAACAAAATGAATCGGAGCCCATTGCATTTTTGTTTTCCCGCATGCATTGAATCATCTTAACTCCAAAACCATACATTATTTCTTTTCCTATAACTAAAGTGGGTTAACTGTGCTCTAATCAATATAAGACTTGTACTTGTTATATATGTCTTTAACTTGTGTTCATGGCATTAAAAGGACCGCCACCGTGGTCTAGTTGTAGAGCGTCCGCCCGGAGAGCGGAAGGTCCGGGGTTCGATCCCCGGCCACGTCATACCAAAAGACATTAAAAAATTGTACTTGTTTTTACCCTGTCTGGCGCTGGGCATAAATGGGCTAAACCAAGGAGTGGTCGGCTAGGAGTCAGTATACTGTGTCTGAGTGGGGTATTTATGTTAAACTGCAGCATGGTATCTCAGTGAGCTAGCACTATAAATCGGCATTAGTCCGGAGTAGTATAAGCAGCCACACGTACACGTGCATGTACGTCGCTATATAAGTGTAATAATCTTGGACGCGACGTTAAACCCAATTTCACCTCACCTCGTGGCATTAAAGAATGAACATTTCCAGTTTTTATTTGTCAAATGGAAATTCGAGAGATAATTAGCAGCTCCGGAAATTTGAACATGTCCTGTATGTATATGTCATTGTTCAAGGATTCCCCTGTGATATCCTTTAAGCTTTAGTGTCTCCTGTAAACTGTCACCATGTAGGATCTCACATCTAGCAAAAGGGAAACTATCTACCAGAACAATGCATTCGTGCATTATCTGGGTATGGCCACATGTCATAAACAAACACATTGAACAAACATCCTGTTGCTAGATGTGACAAGGAAATCCTGAACATTTAACAATGAAGCATACACATTCAGGATATCCCGCAACTGCGACGCTCCAAGCGAGCAAAATCGATAATTTGGGAAGGAATGTTATGGGTTTGTATGTGTGTTTATTGTCTCACGCCGCACTCAGCACAATTCCAGCAATATGACGGCGGTCTGTAATTAATCGTGTCTGGACCAGACAATCCAGTGATTGACATCATGAGCATCGATCTACGCAATTTGGATACGATGACATGCATCAACCAAGTCAGCGAGCCTGACCACCCGATCCCTTTAGTCGCCTCTTACGACAAGCATAGTCGCCTCTTACGGCAAGCATGCGTTACTGAAGACCTATTCTACCCCGGATCTTCACGGGTGGAATGTTATGGGGATCTCTTAGGTATTGCATACACCACAGGTTGGTCGATCACCATAATGATTTGTAATGTTCACCTTGTGTTGTATACATAAGTTATTGTGTTATGTGTCAGTGTGTTGAGGAATCATTGGAGTCGATGACGTCACTGGAAGATCTGCAGAAGACGTTCACGGCGCAGGAGGCAATCTTAACGGAAGAAAATATCAAACTGGTCCAAGACAGGTCCAAGGTCAGATTCCTCAATGTACGTGAAATAATTTACCAGCAGATTACCGTTAAAATCGACCCCGTTCACTTGGCGAAACGGGACCGCTACCCATTCGGGTCCACTCGGCTTATTCCGCCTCGTATGTAATACACCGGACTCAAGGGAGTAGAAATACTGCGCGCACTCTGTGTTACCGCGTAATGCCAGATCCCTCCGCATATAGTTCGTATAACATCATAGCCAATTTAAAGACATGTGCGTAACGGATATCAGTGTACACTTGAAGACAAAAGCGGAAACAATTTTAACAGTTATAATAGGTTCGTCGTTGCGGGACAGTTTGTGTTGTATCATGTGCTAGTGACGTGCACGAACAAACTCCGAGACAGTGATGACCATCACACCACTGCCACAAGTTAATTTGCATATCACGTGACAGAACTTTTTTTCTTGTTTGTAAACAAACGCGCTCATTCTTGGTTTGCCTGTTGTTAGTGTACACTGCGGTCAGCAGCATCCCAGCTACTTGTGAAATCTCGGCCAGGCAAACCATGAACCAGTGGGTGATAGCACGATCATCTGTCATCAAGGTATGATGACACACAATTAGCATTGAGGGTGTATGCCACTCTAGGATTGTTACTAATAATTAAACATTGTTAAGCAAGTGAAAATCAGTGTCAGAATTGTTTTGTTTTTCAATTGCGAGATTACCAATCTAATCATTTTCTCTTCTTTGTCCTCCTTCTGACAACTTTTTAAAAAAACAACGTAAAGTTATCCACCCCTATGTTAAAATAAATTGTTTGACTCTCAACGAAGAACACTTGTCTCTAAAACATTAATATATTCCTGCACATGTCTGACACAGTGTGGCTTTAGCCATGGCCAGATATTATCGACCCGCGGCGACGCAGGTGTTCCTCGTTATAACACAGGCACTAATTGTTGTCTTCTCTGTCTTTTTTTGTCAGTTGTGAATTTCCTGCAGGAGATTTACAACGCATGTTAGGATGAAGTGTCACTCTCTCAAAGGCTTTACATACGACATACGAGTTGTCTCCCTTAGATCACTTTTTAAGTTCCAAACGTGTTATTCATCACAGACACACTAACTGGGAAATGTTTTTTCCCCGTTTGAGTTATATCTCTTTAAGAGCGAGTAAATTGGGATATAAAGGTTATGTTTTCAGCTTTGCTTGTGTTATGGAGTATTTCTGATTGGTCAGAATAACATTTGATCAGGGCCCACTTGCACAAACCGATCTTAGCGCTAAGACTATGGTAAGCCTATGTGAATAGTCACGATTATCTTAGCGCTAACATCGCTTTGTGCAAGTGGGCCTAGGTGTCTAATTCATTAGATACCTCAAAATTAACAAACACAAACCTGCGTGATACTACATCAATCTATCGATAGCCTAAATATCGATACATATGACATCAGAACTGTATACGCTCGACGTAGGAACATTATCAGCTGTTTTTGTCCCTGACTGTTACACTCGATTGCAAATTGTAACAAGAAGTATCTAATCTACAGGACGACTACCATTTATTTCAAAACACAAATACTGTATGTTTATCTCGTAATTGGACATACGTGAATTTTATCTGGAACCGACGGCATTCTTGTATGTTTCTCCACATTGTAAAAAAAAATATCAGTACTTTTCCGCGGCACTGTCTCTCCAAGTGAACTCACGTTCACTCTTGAATGCTGTAGACCGCCACCGTGGTCTAGTGGTAGAGCGTCCGTCCATACAGCAGAGGGTCCGGCGTTCGATCCCCGGCCGCGTCATACCAAAATACGTTAAAGGGCAAGTTCACACGAATACAAACCTATTTTTCTTGTACTTTTTCATCATGAAAAGTATTTACCTAGTAGTTTCGGAGGCAAAACAATTTAAATATCACACGTATCTAATTTATTTTATTCATAAAATCGGTTCATATTTTTCACATTTACAGAGAGTTCTATTTCCATAATAAACACACCATGGCTTATGCCCCTTGCAATATGACGTCATTGGTGCCAATTGATAAAGGAATGACGTCATAAGACTTTATTAGACGCGTTTCACGTGGTGTATGTAGGTGTGTGGTTCTATCTTCTCAGATGCGCAGCCTAGCTATTGTTTTGTTCGATGCCGAGTTGTCCAAGATACAACGCTAAGCACAATTACTCTAAAATTATTTCGTTTTCCAAAATCGCGACTGAGAAGACAACAATGCACTGATAACATACTGTAAGATTCGCGATTATGGTTGGAAGGGTCCGTTGTATGAATTCAGACACCATATATATATGGTCTCTGATTAATTGCGCTTATTCGTTCATTTATGTTGCGCATATTGGCTCTTGCGGAGTTGCTGTCGTCTTCTATGAGAGTTTAGATACCTGCTGGTTCTGAAACCACAGGACCATATGTAACTAATAATAACAATAAAAAAAACTCGCCAAAAAATTATAGACGAGGCCGAAGGCCGTTTTTGTTACTATTATTAGTTACATTTGGTCCTGTGCTGAAACTGATCGGAAGCGGATGGTGTACGATCCTTATATGGAAACGGGCTAAAGGGACAGCACTCTCATCAAGACCCTGACTGGGATGTTTTTGTAAACAAACGCCGTAAAGTTGAAGTAACTCGATCAGGTAAGTTTGCTGTTTTAGTTTATTCTAACCACAGTAGTATTTAAAAATGTATTTTAGCAGGGGTAGGTTGATATTTGTACATAGTTTCACTGATAATCATGAATATCCGCGATGTTGTCTCGTTCACATGTTCACTTCCTGCATGGTTATGTCGATACTCCTGATCAGCTGATCGTTGCAGTATGCAGCAAACTCCTGTTAATGGAGTAAGTTGTGTTACGTAATGTTTCAGTTTTACAGCCATTCCCGTCTGGAATTAACACAAATCATCTCATTTCGGTAATTAATAAACCTTATAATAACACAGGAAAACAAATGATAAATTATAAACTCATTGAAATTCTGTGTGTGTGTGTTTGTGTGTGTACCTAATCTTTAAATAATCATGTACAATAATTTTGATTCAGACTGTTGAAGCAAAAATACATTGTTGCAACATGTTAATGTTTTATATTTAGGCTTTATATATTTTTTATTCAAAAAGATATCTGGTTTTGCTGGTTTGTAGCTGACAAAATATCCAGTCACTATCCAAAATCATCGCCCACCTACCACCCAAAATATTCAAATTTCATGTTCAATGCAATTTACTCACATATACAATTTATAGCACATTTATACATGAAAAAAATCAAGTTACCATTTTATATTTTGTGATAGTGAGATATAGATGACAAAAGTGTTAATGTTTCTATGTTGTATCTTTCAAATATGAAGTTTCGAGCCAAGTCATGCCAGTCCATCATGGTGTAAAGTCGCTGTCCAATGTACACCAGAAGCATGGCACACCGTGCTTCACAGTATGAGGTACAAAATAATATTTTGACAATGAATAATCACACAATGTAAATACTATATGCAAATAATTTCTGTATTGAACTATTTTGTGTATCTATTATATTCTATATTGTTGTCTTTTGTTGTAAAAGTGTAGTGTGGATGACAAATGAATGTATACTGTGAATGACATAAAAGTTTAGATCTGATACAATTTGTACACAGTTAACTGATGATATTTGTATTCAGGCACCCAGTGACATGCCTGACACTGCTGCAGATTATTACCACCTTCTTTTACAATTATTTAGTCAGTGTACATATTATTTTGACAAATCTATGTTAAAATTATTAATATATTTTTCAGGTCCCACAATGATATGGAAGAGTATAAATGTGACAAAACCCTTTCCATATTCATATGAAATCTCTGTGAAAAACAGTTGATGGTACGATTCTGACTAAATCATGAGCACGTGTTAATGAATCGCTATCAAATAGTGATAATACCAGGTGTTCGCGAAAGGTGAGAGTATCCTGCCCCAACGGTGTCACAAGAAATCCCTGGTGTTGAGATCCATTTTCATTGTGTGCAAATTGTGTTTATTTTCATGCAGTTACAAGTCATAAAATATTAGAGTGTCTTGTGAGGTACAGTGCTTCAGACAACCAGAGAGCTGTACTTTTGAAATAGTCAACCAGTGCACTAACAAGCTGCCACTGAGCATTTAGCCAGTGCTTGTGATATTTTCTTCAGTCTTTTCCCCGGCCTTTGCCCTTGCCCAAAACTACCTGATCCAGCATCAGCCATCCTGTATTACAGAAACTTATCAAATGAAACAGCAAAGGCTGATTGTTGTCAGAGACCATAAAACAAGATTTCAATTAAAAAAGTTTATTTTAATGAGCATAGAGAAAAACATTACATACATCAGATGGAAATCTTTCATGAATCACCTCGACAACACAAGATGGAATAACTTTTCTCTGATTCTTCAACTATTTCTGCAAATCCCCAAAGTGAACCTCTTGTTTATGAGGTGTAGATAGATTCTGAAATGAAAAAGTGTCTTTTATTAGTCAAGCTATGCACAACATTACAAAAAAATATCATACCATTTACATATATATTTTTGTCATTAAATCTGGAGGGATGCTTATATAAGAAGTAACTTGTATTGATGATATATGCATAATTTTTATTACATGTTAATAATTCAATAAATACCAAAACAGTATAGTTCTATCATGTTGACATGATGTGTTTATTACTGTAGGTTTGAATACTTCTTGAAATATTGTGGGCATGTTTCAATATCACTGATGTAATTTAATAACCTTGCAAGTTATATATGCTTTCACAACTTGCTGGCAAATAAACATTTATGGTACTCGAATCTCTTATTTTACTTGTCAGATTTGTATGTTGTGCATGATAGATCTTAAAATGCATAATAAAATAAATTGATGAAAGTAAATCATATTATATGTTTTCTAAACTTTATTTCAAGTGTTAATATTAAAAAACGGTGGTGGGGTAGCCTTGTGGTGAAAGCGTTCGATCGTCACACTGAAGACCCAAGTTCGATTCCCCACATGGGCACAACATGTGAAGCCCTTTTCTGGTGTCCCCCCAGTTGTGATAATGCTGGAATATTGCTAAAAGGGGGGTAAAATCCTACTCACTCACTCATATAAAAAAATGATTGCATATTTTATTTGCATTTTAGGGGGTGGTTGTTACAGACGTTTTGCTCAAAAGGTCAGGTTGGGAGGTCCAAATTTCCAAACAAAGATTTACAATTTCAAATATTTTTCACTAATATTCAACAAGTTTTACTTATAGTTTCTTAGATAATTTATATATATTGATTGTGACTGTAAATGAGCTTTTTGTAAACATTTTACATATATTTGGTCCACTCAGTTTAGCAACCCACTGTTTTTAATAATTAATTATATATTAGATATTTCTTCTTTTTTATAGTTTCTAAACATTTTTTTTTAAAAATCTGGCCCCATAATAGATGATAAATAGTTTCCCTGCAAAGTTGCAATGCATTTTCTATGAATGGTTGTCAGAACAAACCAATAACCAATTATCTATTAAATAGAATAAGATACTGTAGGCCTACTGCAGTAACTGGTTTCAAACACTAAACAAATCAATTGAGTGATCTATCTTTTCACTTTCAAATGGGGACGGTGTGAAGTTTGAAGTACGACATCCAATTACTTATCAATAAATATGGCAGGTATTTTGAACTCGGATGGGAAAAAATCAAAGAGAATCTTTCTTTCCCCCAGTACGTTTCCACTCGGCAACCGTCTTTAGAAACGTACTGGGACGTACCCCATTTTCGTGTTACTCTAAGCATATGGTCTCGTCATCAGCTGGTAGGCCTAATGTGTAATCTTGTTGAGACAACGTTTGGCGACAGATCGTATTTGTTTCTTGATATTGGCAAGAAGCATTGATCTGTAGCCTATAGGTGGTGGGAATAGTTACATCCAAACAGACAAACTCAGATTGACGACAATGCCGATACCGGCGATAGGGTCGTAACAGGGTGGGACAGGATGAATAGGCCTTCTGACGAAGCATGCGGGTCACCCGGCGTGACAAAAAATCTCTTAGAATATTACGTTTCCGCTTCTGAAAACGTAATAATGAGCATGTAGGTAATTTAGGTATACACACATCAAAGTGTTATTCTTACCACGTTGTCACTGGTAGGCCTAATTGTGTAGATGTCGAGTCGGGGTCGGGTTACAAATTAGGTGATGTGGGTCTTCTCTTGTTTCCACTTGATTTTCATCGTTTCCATACAGCGAAGCTTGCTCGTTTTGGTTCAAAATCGTATGGTTTTGCGAATTCTTGAAGGGTCAAGGGAACTTCTTCGGACCAGGCAAGGTATCGGATGCCATGTTGTCTCACCATAAACTGGTACTTGATATCTTTTGCGTTGTGACAAGACAGGGACCCAGTTAAATTGGCACCAATTACGTCATAATCTAAGGGGGATAACTCAGGCCTGTTTAGCTCGGAAAACGAGGGCCTCGTAACGGCATGACATTTTCACACTTATTGTGAGCTCGCTACATTGACTGAGAAAAATGAGTGTATATTTTCAAACACTGATACTAACTAATTCTAAAATTCCGTTTTGTTTAAAATAAGAAAGAAAGTGATTTTTGCGTGTACACTTCCCCTTTAAAAGATCGTACTTGTTGTTACCCTGTCTGGCGCTCGGCATCAAGGGGATAAAACAAGGACTGGTCGGCTGGGAGTCAGTATACTGTGTCTCAGTGGGGTATTCATGTTAAACTGAGGCATGGTACATGTATCTCAGTGGGCTAGCACTATAAAATCGGCATTAGTCAGGACATGTACAAGCGGCCACACACACACGCACGCACGCACGCACGCACGCACACACACACACACACAGAGTCAAATATGGGACCGAGAAAAAAACGATACTACTTAAGAAAAGTATCTTTACGTTGTGAAAATTCCGATAGGCCATTCAACGCAATCAGATTGCACTACTCACTCCAATTAATTTTGCAGTTAGGATTATCACAATTACCAAGTTAAACATGCGTATAAGCTAAATATGGTAGTCCCTGACTCACCATGATCCCCAGACTCACCATGATGAACCGCCGTTATATTTATTTGTCAGCACCATATCATCGGTTGTTTCACCAAGTGGTAAACGTCTTAAGACCTGCTGTGCTTCCTCCAAAAATTAAACTCACACGCCGTAAACAACTAAAATCACTCACTCATGTAATTCAGTATATTCATGAATAATTTATCAATAAGATACATTCAGTCTTCGACAAGTACTCTTCACAACAAGGCGAATAACAGTTGACGAATTATCAGTTGAGCTGGCTAGTAAAGAAGATCACTGTTAAGATAAGTCAACAAGATTACTGACAGTGTTAAGATAACTTAAGCAACTTAAAAAAGTCGACTTGAAAATGGCGTTAGAACAGAAAAGTCCGTTTCTCTGAGCAGAGAACTGCGGTTGTGAGTGACGCGGTGCACGTTGATGTATGTGTAATTGTCAATGCGACGCGTCGACTCCACACTATAGGCAACGATCAAACCTTCCATCCGTGCTGTTATTATCGACTGCACGCATTATGCAGAGTCGCGGGTTCTTAAATGCGTCTCGCGGTATGCAGGACTATATCCTAGCATCCTTCCTCAATCTGTATATACATCTATACTTCACGAACTGACAAGAGAATCAATATCTGTCTTCAGCATCCTAACTGAGCGATGTTTCCTTGCTTAATCAGTTATTTATCTGCTCAGTACTTTCTTCTCCTCGTGTAGAGGTATAGGCATGACCTTCAAGGTGTGTTTAAATAACTCCCCGACTTGTAACGTTCTTATGGGCCTTGGTGCCTACCAGAACGCATTGGGAAGCGTTGAACCCAGGCTTTCGATGAGCTGTCTTGTCGCGTGTGAGTGGATTTTATGCCGACATTTGCACTACTCCAGCCGTATTATGACGGAGGATAGCGAAGATGCGATTCACACATGTACCCATGTTGGGAATTGAACCGGGTCTTCGAAGTGTCTAACCAACACTTCAAGCCCTATTCTACCCATTTCGCCTGAAAATAAGGAGAGCAAATATCAAGTATATGATGTAGAACGTTGATCAGATGACTGGCATATTCTGTTGATATGATGATATAAAGTAGTTGCAGATTTTAAATATCCTAATGTTGTATTTTATTTTTTCAGGAATACAAGAACACTATCCAACGGTACGTGCTTCACTTCGTGAATTCGTACCTCGTTCTTCGTTGTTTTAGAAAATACACGTCCATGTCTTTGTCAGGCATTTGCACGAGTGGTAATTACAGACGTCAGTACATGTAGGCATTTCAGGATTCTTTATAAGGACACTTTATAGCACCTTTTTAACGACATGTAATAATTGAGTGAGTGGGTGAGCCACTTTGGAGAAATTAAAAACGGGCATGGTGTCGGCAAATCAAGAAACATAAACAGGGGGCATCTGGGGATCCCCCCTTTCTTGTCCTTTTGTTTTTTTCTTCTTCTAGTAGCCAAACGAAGGGCAGTATAACATGCTGCCAGTAGCCAGTAGCCAGTAGCCAAACGAAGGGTTGAAGGTATGGCAAACGTGCACAGTTAATAAGACTTCCACGGCAGGTTTGTATATGTGTAGGTGCGAGGAGCTGTATGACAACGCCCGACTGATGCCGAATGTAGATGACATCACACCAACCTTCCTCAAGATGCCCTTCAGCCTCCTGGAGGAGAAGCTACACTTGGAGAACGCACTCCAGTTTCAGGCTTACGGTATCTAAAATTCCGTTTTTTATAGTGTTTTTGCAATGGCATCATAACCAATAATATTACTGGCATCTACTGCATGATGTGTATTGCTACTCAGTCTGAACGTTTCCTTCTTTGACTGGGAAACCCAAAGGCAGAGAGATGCTACTTTGGTAGGATATGTTACAGTAACACTACGTTGGGGTTACATTTATTCATGGCATAAATTTGAAGCGCCATTTTCAGCACATAATATTAGCTGTTGTTGTTTTGATGTTGACCCCTTGGAAAGAAAACCGAAGAAGATAGATAGATCGTATCACGCGAGTGTGTTTTGGGATGGTAAATATCCTGTATTTGGAATAACGGTATTTAGCGACCTTTGTCTTATGATGCCATTCATAATTCGTACCGTTGAAACAAGTATTCTCATCCCTTACTAACGGTTCCCTAAACATGGCAAGTGTTCCTGGAATGTGCTCATTAGTATATTACGTCACAAGGTCAGTTCAGTCAGTCGGACAGTGACAATAATGTTTTATGATGAAATAAAGAAGGAATAAGCAGTGACCAAATGTTTACTTCGGGATAACCGTACGTTCGACACATCAAAGTTCGACACAACCGTGTTTGACTGGTGTTTGGCCATAACGGTGTATATTTCATTTAGGTTCATTTTTAAACGCTTGCAGACGAAGCTTGTGTGGAACCCAAAAGCCGCATGGCGTATGTCGATTCGAACGAGCTGGAGAAACCCATGAGGTGTTTCGACTTGTGGGACCCTCCTTCCAGCGTCCCCGCCTCCACCGTGTGTGTGTACAACGTAGAAGTCAGGACAAATAACTGCTCTGAAGCCATCAAGTATACGAACCTGCCCATCGACGACTTCGTCTTCAACAGTATCGGCAGGGTGGACTTGCAGCCGAGGCGGAGATACGTCCTGAAAGTAGTCCCGGTGTACACGTGTCGCGGCTGCGGAGGGACGGAGCACACCATGGATGGTCTTCCGGTTTATATCATGGTGTTGACAGGTGAGTGAGTGATTTTTGGAAGTATAAGACTTGATTCAAAATAATCGCCGAGTCACAGGCGTCTTATTCCTTTAGAAACAAAATAGATAATAGATTATTCTATAGACAGGACATTGTGACAAGTTGTCCGTTTATGAAATATTTCATGTTTATTTCATGTGGTTTACAAATGACTTTTAAAACTTTTAGTCCTCCAGATCTCCGATCGGCCCCCCTATTGAATATGACAAACATTTTGTGTTTGGTTCTTAATTTTGTGTTGGTTTTTCATGCATGTATGCTGGTGTTTTGTTTGGATTCTTCATCGCCATTGTCAAGAAATCTGTGAACATTTTTTTCCAAATCTCTAAAGCTGTATGTATATACGCTATAGATCACACTACATTCTGCAGTCTGGCTCAGTACATACAGATATTATTGATGAATAGCAAGACTCTGTGTCTCCAGTACATCAAGATGTTGAGCACTTTTATTTGGTGTTGTTATTATTTTACGATTAAATATTAATGGGAAGGTTACAGAATATTCGAATTTCTGATCGGCCGAGAGGTCAGTCACATGACCTAGAAAAAAACGTTCATAGGCCTACGAACCGCACATTTTGACATACATACACGTGCAAGTGAATGCAGACCTATGGCCCCAGCGTTCAGAGGTTGTATTCTCCTGAGGGAGCTGAGAATACTCTTTTGATGCACACTACTCCGTTGATGGGATAAAAATATATCAGACGTATAACGGAGTATCCCTTGTAGCGATTTGTACGCAGACTGTCAAGTTATATTTGGGAATTGTTGGCTCAGCTTCTAAATCTATTCCAGGTCCTCCGCCCCCGAAGTCTGATCTTCTGAAGAGGATTTCCTATTTTAATACAGTGAGATGAATAAAAGTAGTCAAATTATGAAAGATATATTTCAATGAAATATGATACAAAATTACTTTGTCGCAACCTTATTAGGGTCACGAGTGACCTAGAGTTAGTGAGTGAGTTTGTTTTACGCCGCTCTTAGCAATATCCCGGCGGGGGACACATGAAGTGACAGAGAGGTCAAAGGAGCTGCAATATTCTGTGCATCCCTAACGTGCCAGAATCCCGTGGTCATAGGTTAGAATCCCCGATCTGTCCTGTTTGTGATTCTTGGTTTGTCAGCACCATACCCTTTCTCGTGGGTTTCCCCAGTGTTAAACGTCTACAAGGAGCATCACTTCGGGCTTTCCTCCCACCCCATGGTGACGCCGTGTTATTGCTGTAATACTGTTCAAAGCGGCGTTAACTGAGCTTACTCATAACGTTCAAGCAACGTTGTGATAACTTTCTTTTTTGTCAGGGTACTGAATCCATCTGAACCGGTTGTGCTGTAACACTGTAGCCTATTGTAAACAATTAGTCGTAAATGCGTTAGTTCATATTGTTCCCTCAAACATATATTTTGGTGGGTTAACGAAACCATCTTGTGCTAAACACATAAAACAGTCTTTTACGCCTATCGATATTGATGTTGAAAGGGAATTCATATAGGCTATCGATCAACCCCGAGTTAATGCTTGTAATCGGATTCAGAAAATTGCCTTTCTGCCAAAGAAAATGTTTGTTCTTTGTGAAACATGTTTGATTGTTGGTGACATTGATTTGATCGCTATGTAAGAGTTCTATCGTCCAGACCTGCCTGAAGGATAAGGATTAAACTAAGCAGACATACAAGTATTACAAATATTGCCCGGCAGTGTTTCCATACTCCATGCCCCCATCAGATGTCCAAGTGGTCAAATCGACCAGGGCGCCACAACTCGCTACCGAGATGTTTGGTTTGGATTGGTTTAACTGCCAAAGTTTCGTTCGTTTGCTTATTTGTGTTTATCGCAGAATATTCCAACTATATGACGGTGTTCTGTAAATAATCGAGTGTGGACAAGACAATCCAGTCGTTGTTTGATACATGACATATACCATACGTAGATCGATGTTCATGATGTCATTCACTGAATTGTCTCGTCCAGACTCGATTATTTTACAGACTGCCACCATAGAGGTGGAATATTGGTGAGTGCCTCGTTACACAACATGCGAAAAACAATACAAATGCTATATATGATATAATGATATATGTTGTGCAGCATTGCTTGAAACCCAAACCAGTGTTCGGCGCCCCAGCCCCCAAATGCGACACCCAGGTGACGCCCGAGGGCAAGTTCCAGAGCAAGTCGTTATTTTTCAACCACATTAGCTTTGAGGTATATATGGTAGTTTGAAGCACCAGTGTCAAATATCATTAACATTAAATAACCCTGATTCATCGATCATGGTTGAACTAAGACAAATGTGACCATTGCGAACTACGGGTGGGTGTGATGAACATTAAGGGTGTTAATTATAGTAGCGAGGTCACTTGGATCGACAACACGTAATTTAACTGAGAGTCATGATGGTTAATAACAGTTGGTAAACCTCAATACGTATTCAACGACAGCAATACTGTTTTAAAGTTAATGGTTGTTGATGCTTTATTATGTAAGTGAGGAGAGGTTTTGCACCGTATGTGTATACCAGAACTGTTCCTGCGTGCGTTAGACTTACCAGGAACCTATGATCGTGGGTTAGAATACCCGTTCACCCTGATTATGTTTCAGGTTTATCAGCAGCACCATGCACGTGTTTGTTCTCTACGACAAAGTGGTACATGTCTAAGAACTGCATCACTTCTTGCTTTCCTCCCACACCAAGCTGACACGTCGTGATATGTCTGAAATATTTCTTAAACTGGCTTTGAAAAAACAATTCACTCCCTCATTCACCTTTCCTTAGGAGGCGCGGGTTAAAGAACAGGAGGTCGTGGGCCAGTCTGACACTGTCACCGGATGTGACGTTGATGACAAGTCTGGAACAGTGTTAGATGAAGGACGATTCCAAGTTTCTGGTAGACATATTAAGGATTTTAGTTTTGAGGTAAGACAGCTGTGCTGATATCACAAACGTTTAAGTTCGCTTTTGAATGAAACATCATCATTTCTAGACTTGTGTCATTGTCACCCGTCTAAGGTATCTTGCGGGTGTCTGTTTTGGTGACATTCAAGGGTTCTTTTCTTTTTCAAGGAAACACGTTTCCATAACACGGAATCTGAAGCAGGCGTGAATGGCCGCCATGTCAGTTTTGTTCTGGACGACAACAGGTACCAAACAGAGGAACAGTTCTTGTCTCACCACAGTTTTGAGGTACACACACGTGAGTGATCTAGATATTGTGTGATTGTGTGAGAGAGAAATAGAGAGAGTGTGATTGTGTGAGAGTGATATAGAGAGTGTGTAGTTGTGTGAGAGTGTGATTGTGTGAGAGTGATATAGACTGCGTAGTTGTGTGAGAATGATATAGAGAGTGTGATTGTGTGAGTGATATATAGACTGCGTAGTTGAGTGAGAGTGATATAGAGTGTGATTGTGTGAGAGTGATATAGAGAGTGTAGTTGTGTGAGAGTGATATAGAGAGTGCGATTGTGTGATATAGACTGCGTAGTTGTGTGAGTGATATTTAAATACTGTGCAGTTGTGTGAGTGAGTCATATAGAGTCTGCCTAGTTGTGTGAGTAAGTGATATAGAGACTGTGTAGTGTGTGAGTGAATTATACAGAAAGCGTGGTTGAGACAGAGGATGGGCTCGAGGAGTAGGACATCTAACCAGCCTTTGTCAGGACCTTATAATCTATGCGAAATCGAGATTTGTGTGATAATTAATTGTTAGATTGATCGACATTAAACATATTTGAATTCGCTAAAATTGAACTACTAAAGTGGTGTGTGAATGACTAGGGAAGAGGCTCGCTTTTGAAATGAATGTAACCTGCCCAGAACATAATCCCAGAAATATAATAAAGTCTATTCGGAAACAAGGTAACGACTAGCTGTTATCAGTTGAGGGTTCGCCTATTGTGTTGAAAATCTACATTTGTGATAATCATACGTTATCAGAAGGAACCATGCCGTAGTTTCATTTGGATGTTATGTATTGTGTTACAGGAGTGTAGGTATCACGACCTCGAGATGCTGGCCTCTACTACACCCTCTGCACTCCGAATTGGATATCAGGAACAAGGAGGTGCTTCAAGCTAAATGTATGTGATGGCATCTGTCTTTTCAGTACAACATCCGATAGAAGGAAATCTCCGGGAAGGTTTCTGGTCATAAGCAGCATCAGCCTCAGTGCCATCAGGTACACGTGATGAAGCTTCATCCACCCTCAGTACACACTGCTCATGGCAACGTAACGGCATGGTTATGAGATACGGAGATTAAGGATGAACCGGAGATCATGGTACTAAAATGAAGAGAACGTGATAGCGTTATCTTGACAGTAACCATTAGAAACATTTTTCAGCTTGATATCGGAAGAAAGTACAAAGTAACACACGATCACGGGGTGGGGTTTCCACAGGGTGGGGTTTGTCGAAAACCACTTTTTTTGTTCTTTTCTTTTCTTGGGTACTGACAGCACATGTTATTACAATAGAATAGTACCTTATGTTGGTCAGTATGCGTATGTGAAGTTAATATATTGTGGTACATATTAAACACATGTAGGATAGGCAGATTTGTCAGTACAGTATGGTTTTGCAAAAAGGTTGTGGCATTACGACCGGAAGGTCTTAAATTTATCGTATTCACATTTCGTGTATGATACATATTTTTGAGTATGATATAAGCTTAAGAGATATTTTTAGTTCGGAAATATTAGGGAAAGAATTTGAATTTTTTAAGTAGATATATTGCTCTGTTGCAATATAAATTATTTTCAAGGCGTCATTACGTTTGCTTTAAATTAAAATATATTGTGATTTTTATCAGTATAGTACTAGTTCTATTCTCCTCTTTTCCTTGTAATCGTCGAATATAACTATATTGATTAAATGAGGGCCCATATTTTGGAACAAAGCTTGTCAATATTTTGTTCAATATGATATGTATGTATGTGTGATCAAAGTAAACTTTTCACATTCCTGGCCGTTAGACATAAATCATGGTTACCATAGCAGCATGTACATCCTTTTTACCATATTCGTTACTTCAAAATGTGATTCATTTCCAAATCTCATGTCTTCTCGCACTGAATGTGACTTACCCTTTTCTCGAATACCGGGTGTCATCACTGATTGTCAGTGATCCATTCATACAATAGTCACCGTTAGTTTGCTGTCTACGCCCAGTGGCATCTGTTTCGGCGGATAATTGAGACTGGATATTCTCCAGCGTTAACGTTTAATTTCACTAACAATAGGTTGTGACGTCATTGTAAGTTCTGTACATAATTGAAACACGTTAGGATGTCACAATTGTTTATCAACTTGATGTCCCCCAATCTTCATCATGACCTTGAGAGCGATTGCGCTTGTCAAAGTAGGGTCGGGGTAAAGGATGTATGATTAGATAGAGCCATTTGTTAAACTTCCCTTCCCTGTAATGAGGCCGTGGGGCCTTTGGAACTTTGATGATACAACTTGTGATATCCCCTGACTGCAGTTTAAGGACCTTTGTCGATACGAACCATTACACGAGGAATGGTAACGTTACAAAGAGCCAAGGGAACATCCAATAAATTAGTTAAGTGTTTGAACAGGCAAAATCGTGGATTAGCAATAGGTCTCGCTTTGAGACAGCGATATCAATGAAGCTAGGCTTTCAAGTCGATTAAGAAAAGGGCTACTTTAATATATACGTCAAAGTAAGGAGTCTTTGGCAAGTTCTTCTAGAAATGTTGGGTAACATGGCTCTCTTAAATTAGCCTTTGGGTTGTTTTGATTATTGGAAAAGAATGATGCAGTTGTTGTATAAACTGAAGAAAATAAATAAGGGAACAGTTGTGAATGAAAAATGTTTTCGGAATACATATATGCATGGATAAAGCACATGATCTGTTTTGACGTCGTACTGACTGGCTGGTTAGCTACCAATTGTTCCAATGCTTTCATCTTTTGCGACGGTATTGTGACGCCGTATGAACACATTGTCGCAAAAGTTAGAGATGACTTTATCCATTCTTTATGACGTAACAAGCGTCATGTGATTGAGTTGTCTACACTTGCGATCAGGAAACTCACATTTCTTTTCATTTTGTTCACAAAAAGACCATACAGTCGAACCTCGTTGTGTAGAACTAGTGGGGACCTGAAAAAATGTTATCTGTGGTTCCCAAATGAGTTCGAGACAACCGGGAATTCGACACATCCATTTGGACAGATCCGAGTATAAATGATGATAAATATTGAGGAAGTCACAGGTACAGGAAGGTGAGTTCGAGACAATCGGGAATTCGACACATTCATTTTGACAGATCCGAGTATAAATGTTGATAAATATTGAGGAATTCACAGGGACCGGAAGGTGAGTTCGAGACACTCGGGATGTCGCAATGTCCAATTTCGACACAGCGAGGTTCGAAAGTACATAATATTGAGAATAACAAACTCGCAACTCGTATGATCGCCCCCTTCTAATTAAATGCAAGAGCTCGCAACTCACAAAATGAATTCAACCGGGGCTGATAATCTGAAAATCATCGTGGCTCATAAGTTGTCCTCTAAGCTTGTCCCTGTACCGCGAAGAAAGGCAGAACTTGCTTGAACACCTGCTACGAACATTTCACTCGGTGAATTACATGGTTGATATGAAGGATTTCTGTTGAAGACATACTGCAATAATATTATGTGTTGCCTTACTATTCTTCATCAGCATTATGTAAATTAATGATTTTTATCCATGTAGGCATGTCACTCGTTTCATTTATTTATGTATCTATTATCTGTATATTATGATATTAGTTTCGCTGGATATTCAAATATACTGTTGTTTACATGGCAGCTCTTTTAAGATTATAACAGTATAAAATTACGTAATCTGAGTTTGAGCTAGAGTTAATGTATGGTTTGTACATCATTTTGGCGTCACTGAGACAATGTGACTCCAATAAACAATTCATGGGACATGTTGCTTTATGTACTCACCGTTTCAAATGAGACATCTTTATAAACAATTTATTTTATGAAGTGTTTTTTTCAATGATTGAATAAAAGTTCACAAGTTTGTTGGGTGTTTATCTTAAACCATAACACCACGTACGTCCTGTCTGTTGCTGGACAGTCCCGTGGGCACTCCAGGTTTCAAGGTCCTCAGCAACCTGTGTTAGTCGGAAGAGAAGACTTGGTGGATCGGATGGTCAGATTCAGCGACTTGGTTGATTGCGGGTCATCGTACCCGGTACCATGGACGGTTGCTTATACTATACATGAAATTAATAATGATTTTCTGGTCTAGAATTGATTAGCTATAAGGCCGCTGTCTAACCCTGGGATAAAGTTGAGTGCGGCATGTTACTCGTACAATACAGTATAATCAATTTTATCAGTAAAACAATCATCTGTTTTTACTTGGAATTTTCCCCGTGAAGGTCTTCAGTAACCCAAGCTTGCCGTAAAAGGTGACTATGCTTGTCGTAAAAGGCGACTAACGGGATCGGGTGGTCAGGCTCGCTGACTTGGTTGATGTATGTCATCGTATCCAAATTTCGTGGATCGATGCTCATGTTGTCAACCACTGGTTGTCTGGTCCAGATTCGATTATTTACAGACTGCTGTCATATAACTGGAATATTGCTGAGTGCGGCGTTAAACAACGAACACACACACACACACACACACACACATCCACACACACACACACACACACACACAATAAGTCACCAGACTGAATGTCAATCCCACAACAAAGAATTACAAAACTGTCATTGGCGTAGTTTGGAAGGAACTCATGACTGCAGCATCATTCCAATCTGCACAATCTGAATTTTAAAATTAACTGACATAAAGTGCTAACGTGGACACCAATGACGTCATAATCAAAGATGGATAACGCATGAACTGGTTTTGGAGTTCGGCGAACGCTATAAATTGCTATTATGCTTCCTCGGTTCCAAATTTGTGTGTTGTTTAACGCCGCACTCTGTTATATTCCAGCTGTATGACGGCGGTTTGTTTGTAATCGAGTCCGAGTCAGACAAACCAGTGATTGATATCATTAGCATCGATCAAGGTAATATTGGGATGAGATGACATGAAATCAACCAAATCACCGAGCCGGTCCAACCAATCCGTTGAGTCGCCCCTCACGATTAGTCACACACGTACATGCACGTCGCAACATAACTCAACTCAAGGCAACTCACGAACCGGTTGACATTACGATCACCCGTCAATATCTCCAGGGAGCGATGACACACAACCTGCCAGGAACGTGTTCGCAATCACTATTACACAAAATACAAAAGTGGTAGCCAAAGGATTCTGATACGGAACAGTGTCTGAGTCACTGCTTAGGGCTTCCAAATTGGATACACATCCGACCATATTTTTGTGTTCCTCCTACCGCTAATTAAATCGTCCTTTCTACAAGCATGAGGTCCATTGACCCGTTCCGCAATACGACCCCCGCTCTGACTGCCGTACCGCTTCAACGTTAACATAGATTTAGTGCCGTCGCAGCGTTCAACTCGTTTTGTGAAACGGGTCCCCAGAGACGCAATTTGCCCCCAGAATCCTCTCAGGAACTGATGATGAGTTAAGGAATAGGTTTGTTGCCGTGCGTGCTTGTATTGCCAGTCCCCGAGCAGAAGCCCAATACTCAAACCCGGGCATTATCAGAAACCTCTTGATGTCCAGATATTTCAGAAAAATGGGTATCACAGTACCGATTCAGCCTGTTTGTTTGTTTGTCTTCTCGCGATTGAGGCGCTGGGTGGTGTAGTGGTTACAGTGTCCATTCAGGATAGAGCTTGAATATTGCTAAAAGCGGCACAAAACCATACTCACCCATTATCTTGTTGGACAAGCCTGTCTCCAAATCAGGAATATACTCTTAGTTTAAGAGTAACGTATTATTTGCCTATGCATGTGTTTGTGCCGGGTGCTACCGGTCTGGAGAACCTTTCTCGAACACCTTGTATCATGACTATTTGATAGAGATTAATAAACACATACCAACGAAAACGTACAATGGAATCTGAGATTTCTTATGATTATAGAAAGAGCTTTGTAGCTTTTATTGTCATCCTTATTATTTACAGATTAAAATAAAAAAATGCAGCAAAGAGGGTTTGGGTGATCCTGGGACAGTCAGAGTGGTTAGGCTACCCTGTTGTGGATAAGTGACTTGTGATTTCTCCGTCAGTAAAACCATAATCTTATTTATTCATAAGATAAAGTTGTTTGATGACAGTTGATTTTGTCTATATTTGAGTATATTTCAATGACATACAAAGCAAGTTTTCAGATTTTTTACTCAACCAAACGTTGAGTGACAGATACAAAGTTTTCTTTGTTTGTTTGTTTGTGTAACAGCGAACTCAACAATATTATGTTCCAGCTACATGACGGTGGTCTGCAAATAATCACAATCCAGTGAGTGATGTCATGAGCATCGATCCACGTAATTGGGATATGATGACATGCATCAACCAAGTCAGCGAGCCTGACCACCCGATTCCGTTAGTCGCCTCTTACGACAAGCATAGTTGCCATTTATGGCAAGAACGGGTTGCTGAAGACGACCGATTATATCCCGGATCTTCATGGGTAAGATATACAAGTGTGAAAGGGTCATTTATATAATCATATTGAAGTGCAGTCGATACAGCTAGAAGATGTCTTCTGGCGGCGAAAACAACTTTTAATGCATTTATGTGTTGGTCGTCTGTGACGTAAGAACACTTGGGTGTTAAATGTGTCTGTGGTGAATTTGTCATGCAATTACAACAAATAAAAGAAAGTGACATTTGCGACTGTCTTGACACTAATTTCTTTTTAGAAAAAGGTCATCCAACCCAAAAAACACCACTAGCAGTGTACTGCTGCAATTTACCAACTGTCATCGATCCTGTATTTTTTTACTCTGAGGAAGTTCACCATTCTTTACACCGGGACTGAAGATCCGACTTCCGAAACTTTTAACGAAGGAGGGTGTCTAGCTCCCTAACGGGACTCAGATTTGTTTATGGTATTAAAACATAATCTATTTGTTTTAGAAATAAATCGTTAAACTTGTAAAGAAAAGATATTTAAATTTCCAAAGCATACAATGCCCAGCAACCCGAACCGTCGGAAGGATATCTATCACTACAATTGCATTGATTCAGTAATTGAAAACGTCAACGCCAGAGAATAATGATCAGTCTCGATTATCTGCCGAAATATATTCCATTGGGCGAAAAAGTGATGAAAATTATATGGATGGATCACTTAAAATCAGTTACGACACCAGATATAATAGCGAAGATTGCAAGCACCTGATTTCATTAAAGTAAGTGCCAGTGAGAGAAATGTCTACCAGTAACTTTCAGGAATGACGTCACCAAGCCTTAGATGGTTAAACCTTGATTAAAGATTAGCTGTGAGCAAAATGTGTCTCTCCATGAAATTTGTATAATATGTGCATGCTCAAGCAACTGAGAAATGTGGACGCCTTAAGCAGGAGATGGTGTACATTGCTCGACAAAAAGGGGACATTCACGACTGGAAAGTCAAAATCATTCCTCATGTCATACATATAGAAAACTAAACTCGCTTCCGTGTATATATGCAATAATACGAAACTCGTGAATAGTTCTGGTATCTGACACGTATTAATTTAATACTGCACAACGGCCTTCCTAATTCAGGTGTCCGTTCCACCAAACCATCTCACCGCTAAGGTTATAATAACTCCCATTCTTTAAAATAGACTTACGATTGTCGTTGGGCTACGATCGCCTTGTGCAACGGGACCATGCATCACAAAGTTTACAATCACGTCACAATACCCTATGACGTAATTTGTGGAATTTTGTTGCAATATGCACAGGCGAAACAATGCCATGTAAAGTCAGCCTAACAATAGGGTTGCCGGGGTCATCGAATCTACATAAACTTCTCATAGTGACATATCATCTCTACACGCAATGTCGTTGAATAAGATCAATATTTGTTAGTGAAACTTGTTCCCACAGTACACAAGCACGCACTTTGGTTTCACACACTGCCAAATGCAGCTGTATGTTTATCAAACGGGTGATCTCTTCCTCTTCACGAGTGAGTAATAAAGCTTCGCACAGTTGTTGCTATCATTTTAAATGTCCGTGCCTTATTGAGATATGACGCCGAATATGTTATTTTGTCAGTTGTATCTTTGATTTCAAACTGTGGTGGAGAGATCAGGTGAAGCTACTCATCTATCTGGGTATATTTGAAAGAAATAAGGCCGCCTTCATGTATCTGAAACTGAGGTTGATTCAATTAGTGTAGGGCGGTCGGGTAGCCCAGTGGTTAAAGCGTTCGCCTGTCCCGCGGAGGCCCGGGTTCGATTCTCGACATGGGTACAATGTGTGAAGCCCATTTCTGGAGTCCTCCGCCGTGATATTGCTGGAATATTGCGAAAAGCGGTGTTAAACCATGCTCACTCACTCAACTAGTGCAAAAGTCTGCTGGGAAAGGGTCACACTTAGTACCCAAAAGTTGTCAGTCAGGAAATCTCGCAACTCATACATTTTGGGTTTATGAATATTTCTGAGTTTGTTTGTTTGCTGTTTAACGCCACACAATATTCCAGCTATATAACTGCGGTCTGTAAATAATCGAGTCTGGGCAAGATTGTCATCATGAGCATCGATCCACACAATTGGGACAACATGACATGCATCACCCAAGTCAGCGAGCCTGACCACCCGGTCCCGTTAGTCGCCTCTTACGGCAAGCGTGGGAGTACAGTTCCTTTCTCTTATAAGAACTTCTCGAACATTCTTTAAAAAAATTAAAAACATGTTTCCGAACTTCATGCTTGGAAACTGAAGCCCTGTTGAAACAGGAATGTCATTTCTCTTTTAATTTATCATGAGAGATAGTTGTGTAAAGGGTGGAAAAGTAAAAAAAATAAATCGATCTTTGAATTTTTCAAGATCCTCATAAGAGACAAGGAACTTAACTTGTCTCAAGCAATCTCTGACTATATTCATTTATGCCTTGCTTGCTTGGTATTTTGATTGAGGATCGACTTGGAGG